ACGAAAATATCAGCTGAAAACAGAAAGTGATTTGAGCATATTTTACAATATCAAATTCCAAAAATTGATAGGAGATCATAACGATATTGTTTTCTAATATGTCAAGTATATATTATTAAATTATCTCGACTAACATCGGGTACCTCCGCTATAATAAATAAATTGTTCTTAGTAAATTGGCAACTATAATTTTATTGTATGCGAAGGTAGAGCGAGGTGTGAGTGTCGGGTCTATTTTGTAGAAGTGTGGGTGTGGGTGTGTGGTGTGGGTGGGTGTGTGGGTGTGGATGCGTGGATGTGGATGTGGGTGTGAGTGTGGGGTGTGGTTGTGGGTGTGTGGATGTGGATGTGGGTGTGAGTGTGGGGTGTGGGTGTGGGTATGTGGGTGTGGGTGTGGGTGTGTTGATTCCCATGACCTACACCCACACCCACACCCTTTCGAACACATGAGTTTTGCAGAATGTTTTCAGTTTGATATCATTCTCGATATGCCTTTTGTTTGTAGTTTTGCGACAAATATAAAAATATTTAGCGCACAATCAAATCTATTGACAAAGTTATCGATGTGATATGTTCTGTCGTATACCAATGGAAAATTTTTACAATACGCTCTCGAAGGGTTGAGTATTCTTTGCATTTTTAGACAGTTTAATCACTATACTACGCTAGATTTCATCACTGATTAGTCGATCATTTTAGTTTCATTCAAAGTGTGAACTAGTGTTAAAAAGTTACTCGTACGTTTACCGTTTCTGAGTATTTCGAAATGGTCTTATTGAAATTGCTGCAATACAAAGTAGACAATTTCAATAATACTTAGGAGTTAATCGTTATTTATCGTAGTGCGTAAATATTTTCTTTCATTTTTCAGTCAAAGAAGAATTTTTATCGTCGTCTCAAGAGCATAAAAAAGTGTAGAGAGAGAGAGAACTCTTTTGATAAGATTATTTAGTCAAGAATCACCTTGAGCATACACTTACACGAGTCGAAAAAAAAAGAAACAATAAAATAGTTGATAGCATTCCGTTGTTTTGAATCGTCCAAAATGGCAACAAACATAAAAGCAAATCATACGACAACTCTGAATATCGAATCATTTGCATGTTTTTGGCTTGATGAAAATATTCATGAAAGAGATGAAAATCGAAAAACTCAACGTGAACTTCGTCAAGTAATTCATCATCTTCAAACATTTAATAATAGTGATGATTGCGAAAGGAAAATTCGACAAACTAAACATGAATTAATTATTCTTATTGTTTCGGGAGCATTAGGACAAAAATTCATTCCTCGTCTACATGATCTTCCACAATTATTGGCCTGCTATGTTTTCTGTTACGATAAAGAAAGTACTCAACTATGGGCTCAAAAGTATTCCAAAGTAATAAATATCGAAACATTGTAAAATCAAAGAACCAATAGTTTTTATTCTTTTCAGATTCGAGGTGTATTTAACAATCGTGTTAAACTGATCATTGCCATAAGAACCAATGAATGTCTTCGAAAAATGATAGAAAAAGAAGTTTCTATCGCTATTATCAGTCGTAGCTCACAATCACCTGAAAGTCACAATCCAATTTATATGTGGTTTCAATTATTAATCGAAGTTGTTCTTCGAATGCATCACAAATCAACTGATCGAGAAGAATTAATCGATATTCTTAAAGAAATCTATGAAGAAGACGATGAAAACATGAAAATAATTAAGGAATTTGAAGCGAACTACAAAGCCGAAAATGCAATCTGGTGGTATACACGTGAATCGTGTTTTTATCAGATGTTAAATAGGGCATTGCGAGTAAAACATTATGATCTTCTTTTTGCTTTTCGTTTCTTTATTACAGATATTGCTAAACAATTAAAAAAGGAACATGCAAAATTTGTTAGTAAAATTCATGCGAAAGATCTACTTCGTGTATATCGTGGTCAAGCAATTCGTATTGATGAATTTGAATTAATTAAAAAGAATATTGGAGAATATCTTTCAATGAACTCATTTGTATCGACTAGTCGTAATCCATCAGTTGCCATTCAATTTGCTCAAGACAGTTCGATTGATAATCAACATCGACGAATTTTATTCATCATTGATATTGATCCAAAAATTAAAACAAAAGCTTTTGCTGATATTAGTAAATTCAGTTGGTCTAAAACGGAATCGGAAGTATTGATTCTACTGGGTGCACTTTTTCGTATTGAAAAAGTCGTTGAAAATAAACAAGATCAACTGTGGGAATGGAAAGTTTTTCTTTCATTGGCCACTGACGATGACTTTCATTTGAAAGACATCTTTGCAGATATGAAGAATAAAATCGGCCATGATACGGATTTGGATTCGCTCGGTAAAATTCTCATTGAAATGGGTGAATATGAACATGCAGAAGAATGCTATGAAAGAATGATTTCCGAAACTCAACTTACACTGGGTAATGCTCATTTAGGACTTGGACGTGTACATCAAAAGCGTAAGAATTATAAAGAAAGTTTGGAACAATTTGAAAAAGCTTTAAAAATGCAAGAAGTACTTGATGAAGACGGTGAAAAAGTCGCAGAAAGTCATAGTCATCTTGGAAATCTACATTTGGAACAACGTAATTACCAACAAGCTTTGACAAATTTAACAAAAGCAGCTCAAATTCAGGAAAAAACTCTTGGATCCAAGAGTCTGTCTCTGGCTCAAACTTATCATTGGATGGCAAATACATATAATGAGGCTGGAAAACATCAACAAGCATTTGAATATTACACAAAATCTCTCAACATTCGTGCGCCTAGTTTATCTCGTGATCATCTTGATATAGCCGCAACTTACCATAGTATTGGCTGTTTATTTACAAGCCGAAAAGATTATGGCAAGGCATTAGAATATTTTAAGAAAGCACTTACAATTAAACAAAAAATATTGCCATCAACGCATGAAGATGTTGTTCAAACATCACAATTAATGGCTCAAACGAAAGCATTATTTAAAAAATAATTGTTTGAATTGTTTATATTTTTTTTTCAATAGACGTTTTCTTGTTCTTCCAAGAAAATCTGATTTTCAATAAAATAGACGACACGTGTAGCTCGATCACTCAATCTAGCCTATACGATAAAAATAAATCCAAAATAGAAACTTCGACATCTCTGTCACGAGGGCTAAGGCAGATCAATGTTCTCTTGTGTCGCTCTACATTTCTTTCCCGTTAGTGCTTTAATATCTGAATACCAAGAAAGTTCAGTTTACAATATACAATTAATTTCGCTCAACGTATATAATCAAGACAAGAAAACAGGAGGGTGTGGGTGTGAATGGGTGTGTGTTCCCCCTTCTGTATAAAACTCATCGATCGACTCTTTACAGGTCACTACGACGTACATGAAAATTTTCTGAAAATGAAATATATGAAAATAGCAACTTCGGTATGTATGTTAAAGTTGTTGAAGCATCATCAAATAATTCCACGTATATTTACAAAGAAGAAACGCATTTCACTAGCAGTACTATCATATTTTAAGCTTCTCGTTTGATTGACTACGAAATATCGCAATCTTGAAGAAAGTAAATGTAGCCCATCAACGGTACACAACGGAAATGCTTGTCTAGCAATTCGAAAAATTACTCTTGAATTAAAAATGAAATCGGACTTAAACGAGTGTGATGTTTGACTATTTTGCATGATTACAAGAAGCAATGAGACGGTGCAACAAAGAAAAATGGCAGCAACAATTCAAAATATCTTCTTTTTTGTATCCAACGCTGTGTTTCATCTGAAAACGATAAATAAAATGTTGCAACAGAAAAAATTAATAAAAGAGACGGCCATTTTAGGTTACATTAGATTGACCAAGGTTTAGAGTATGCTTTTACAATTTTTCATTTCTCTTCAACCATGCACTGCCAAATCACCACTGATTAATTAGGAATAATGAGACAGAGTGTAAAAACTATTGCATAAAAAACGCACTACTTTATCTTATTTAAAGAAAAAGACTTGGATCTCTGATAGACTTTTGTCTTACTGTATAATTACCTTAAACATGTAGGAATGCGTTATTGTTTAAATATCATTGATTGTCGGTAAGTTTTACATTTGTTTGGCAATAGTTTCAATAACCTTCGGCAATACAAATAACAATCATTGATTGTTTAAATATCTTCTTCAATAGGAGATCCAATAGGAAGTTGCTTTTTGGTACTGACGGCCCATGATTTCTAGTGAGTATTCTGTATGAATGATAGACGCAATAATTTCAAAGTCTTACTTAAAGAAATTTCTCAGTGAAAAACATCCACTCAGAATTCTAACGAAAATGGCCACGTTTTTATGCGTAAAAAGTGTACATTTCGATGCGTTAAAATGCGAGGTTTCTATGCATGATAAATCCATTTTTTCGTTCTTTGTCTATCGAAGTTGAAAAGTCTGTTGATCATAGTTGATGAAATATATTGTTACTTCATATGTATCGTTTGCTGAATGCAAATAGGTACATCAGATTATTTGCTATGCAAAGTCTTGTTAGTGTATTGAATAATCAACCGTTACGAAAGACAATAGTTAGATATTTTTAAATCTACTTTTTACAACCTTAGACACCTTGATAGTAAACAAATAGCTTCAGTCTTCGACCAGAGGACTTTTGTCTAAGTGTAGATAGGATTACGTTTGTAGATGTGGTTATAGGTGTGTAACTGTGCCTTTCTATCTGATTGTGTGAGATTCATCTAAGCACTCATACTCACACACTCGGTTGATAGCGCAGTACTTTGACAATCATGGTTCACAGAAAAGAAAATTTTAATTATGCTGGTTAAATTCTACTAATGTTCTTTCATCATAGAATACCTTCTATTTACGATTTTCAAAAACAAGCTAGTAGCTCTCACCAATATGACGAGCTGCTGAAAAGTGTTTGCTCCACGTCTTCAATGATTGACGTGGTCGAACGAAAGAGTTCATTTTCAAGGTAGAGGAAACAAATAACTGTCACTAGTTATTATGATCTCATTATTGTTCAAATATTGAGATATTAGTAAAGACTTTTATCAGATCAATACTTTGTTCAATTGTTTCGTTAAAACTTCCTAAAGCATGTCTCATTCAATGATGATTAAAATTAGATATGGAAACATTTTTTTTAATATGCTCACTATTAAGTCCGCTTGTTGACTCAAACCTGGAAAATTTATGTAAAAAAAACTAATTATATGTTTCAAAAAAAGGATGAAAAGTTCTTTCCACTTACGTTGACATCAGAGCTGCCAACAGGCGACTTTTTTTCAGCCTGGCCTGGACTGGTCTGCAGGCGAAACCAGGCCGACCGCTATTTTTGATGTTTTCAAATTCATTACTTTTACAACGTTGCTTCAATCTGTGATGTTAGTTTCAATTATTTATTCGATTCATTTTCATGAAAATAATGAAATACACGTCGATAGTTCTTGCAGAATTGAAACCGAGAATAAAACCGACTTTCAAAAATCTTTGAAACTGGAAAATTGATTTAACCTGTACAGAAACACTGAAGCCTTCAATCCGTTAAGTAGATACTGAAATCCTAAAATTTATCTCTAGATATCATTCAGTTTTGCTTTTATTTTTTGAATCAGGCTATTGGTACATATGCAAACTGTTGCTCTCCATGGGTGTTGAGTTCTGTGACGCCTTTAGTTCCAAATATTTGACACTGACAATTTCTCGAAATATATCTAAAACTTTATATTTGTCTTATGTCTCACAATGATTGCTGTTATACGTAATGCTGTAAGAAACGAACTGGAACTGCCTTTCTCTCATTTTCATTAAGCAAAATAGGAAATATTATTCTCATTTAGAGGAGTTTTTGGAACCAAGGAATTCTTTAATTAAGAAACAAATTCTTTCAGAAAGGCTAATTAAAACAATGAAGAACATTGTGAATATTTTTGACAGAATCAGATCTTGAATGAATGGCAGCTACTAAATATCGAAAGTAAAAGTTTTGAAAAGAAAAACAGGTGAGGCCTGACCTCAAAGGAGTAAGAGATAATAATAAAAAGGACGAAAAACAAAAATTTATCGAATGTGTAAAAACATTGATTTATGAAAATACCGAAGAGCAAATGTCGAAAGTCAACATTCTTGACCCGCGATGTCAATTTATGTTTAAAGTTGACTACTGAAAAACTGGGTATTACATCACACCTAAGCCACCAACTTGGGCCTGGCCTGCAGGTCAGACCAAAATTTGAAAATTCAGCTCCGACTGACATTAATGTTTATTGACTTTCACATGTTGATTGATATTATACATGGTACTGGCATTTTTGTAAATATCATTCAATAACTTTATTGAAAGAATAGCGAACATGGATCGAAAAATTCTTTGTCTTTAATAATTATCAAAGATTTTAGAAGAATTGGGAAGACACTGTTTGAGAATTTGATATGTTCGTATATTTATGAGCAAACAAAAATACCCACTCTGGCTGACGATACACACGTTTCCATATTAAAAAAAATTACATACAACATGTGCAAATATCTGAGTCATACAGTGACATAAAGGAAAAAGTCGACAACATACTTGATTAAACCTCTTTAACTCATGCCCTTCATTCAGTCAACAAAAACCATCACAGAAAATTGCGAAAATTTCTCGTCTACAATCGAGAAATCTATCAGTAATCCTGGTTTCCGATTGTTTTGAAACGTGGGAGGGGCTAAAAAGTCGACAGAAATCACCTCATCTGACCTTCTGGCAGAAACTGAACAAAATATGCTTCATACATCTACCTTCTGCGAGATTCTTTGGACAGATAGTGTTTTTATTGGTCTTTCTGCAAGAATTTACTAATAGTTTTTGAAAAATTCAGCAGAACGTATGAGAAAGCTTCACTAACAGTCCGACATATTTTCAATTTTGGGAGAGCTAGACTCCTCTAGCCTCCCTTTCATTGAAAAGCCTGTCAGTTATTGCAGTAATTACTATTAATCTGAAGCCGAAAATACAGCACATCCTTTATTCTTTGATCAATTTGATTAGAAAATCAAAATATTTCATCACAACTGTAACATCACTTTCAACAGACTTCCCTTTGAAAGGGGGTGAAGAATAAACCAAAATCTATACATGAAATGCATCTCTGTGCTATAACTTGACAAAACTTGATGTTTCGTGTATGAAAACAAACAAAGAATACAATCTGATAATGAACATCAAGGAAGGCTGGAACAGTTCACGATGTTGGTGCTGGTCTGGAGTGCGCATGTTTATCTGCTTTGTCTTCACTCGTACTCACACCCTCTAGTCACCCATTGATGAAAAAAATGCATCCTTAGTTTGACAGCTACTTTGAAACCAATAAAGCACACAATTTTGAATCCTGAATATCTCATTATTGTCGTCAACAAAAGAGGTCCTAAATATTAAAGTCTATTCGATAAAGTGGTTTAATCATTTACTAAATACATACATTAACTAAATATAGATTAAAACCAACTTCGAGCTTCGGTTCATTATTTAAAACTTAGGACTCTTTGAAATACCGTTTTTTACATATCCCATGAATCGTATCAAGAATAAAGATGATAGATTCATGTACAAACGGTATTTGGATAAATTGGATGATTCTCAGATAACTCTATAATTTTTTGATAAAATAGATCTGATAAATTACATTTATTTTAGGTTAAATATTCTTAGGAAGACATGATGAATTTGATCCCATTTTCAGTAAGGTCTTACATGTATTCAAGAAATCTTGCATCGACATTCCATATTAAAATCCTTACTGCCAATATTTCAAAAATTATATCGATGATTCAAAAATGCAGTGAACAAGTAATCTGTCTCTGTTTGTAGAGCATCGATCTGAATTCACATAGATACTTTTGAATACCATCAAGAATTTTATTTATCTATGATAGGAATCCGAATGAGCATTCTCATTTATGGATATCATTCATCATTTTAAAGAAACTCGAATAATGAAAACAGACGAGTTTTTAAGTG